TGCAAATCTATTGAGTTGGTCTCTCTGTTAGTCTTCATGTTAGTTTTTGAAATTCAGTTAATGCCTGAAAAGATTGGCTTCTGTTCAGTAACTGAATTATATCATGTGGCCCTGAGTTTGGGAATTTTCTTTTTGGACCAAGATATCAACTGAAACAGGGAAACCTATTAGGAAGTTACAGTTTTTTAATGTTTCAATTTTTATAGCCTTATTTCAGAATATAGGGCCAATTCTAGTGAGTCCAAGTTGCTGCTTGTCTTGAACTGACTGTAAATCATTTCATTTGAGACTATTCTCAACAGTTCTCTATCCAATAATGCAGCTACAATGACAGGTGATATTTGTTATCTCTTCCTTTTGCGATCAAGGCTGTTTCCACAAATTGATATACCAGAGGCAAGTGATTAGCACGAATGTGTCCTGATTGAGTCTGCTGTATCCCCCATGAGAAATACATCTACAAACCACTTACCTGCAGGTTGTTCAGAAGGAAGTGGGCTGTGTAGCTACAAGTTCCAGTTCATGCTAACCATACAGCTTAATATAAAACGAATCATAGATGGAAGTAGAAGTCATGTGATGTGCACACATAGACCATAAACAAGCTGTTTTATAGGTGTGGCACTTTGTAGAAGGAAACTGGGCATATTTGTGCTAACTTCTTCGTGTGCTATAGCACAAACACAATCTCAGAATCGGAAGTGATTGTGACAGTATCCATGATACTTCTGCATAAGGCAGAACATTCTAAAGAAACATTTGCTTCAAGAGATACAGAAAAAGACAATAAAATGATTAGAGTATCTTTTCTTACTCATAAGAAAAAAACTATAGAAATTCAGGTTGGAAACGAAGAACTGGGAGCAACATGAGGTAGGAAGTTGCAGCCTCTGAAACACTAAGGTAATTAATGTTTTTTCCTTCCTTGCTTTGAATATTAACATTTTGGGCTAGCCTCTTAAGGACAGATTATTTATAGGACTCTTACAAAGGTTATTTCAGTAAGGCAATGGAATTGCTGTGCCCAGACACATAATTAAGATGGCAGTTAAGCTTAGATGGTTTGCAAGTATTATAAAGAAGTCTTTCTATAATCTATTGCTGTTTTCAAACCAATATCATGGCTAGAGTAGACTTACTGAAATCATTTGAACTGAGATTACTTAACACTATTTTTGAACCCTTTGAGTTGAATAGGTCCACTTTTAAGAGAGACTACATCTGGAACCAGTCCATGATCTCTTTCTAATTTTTGTATCATATTGATATCCAAGTTTTAAAAATATTACTTAGTCAGATTCATGGAAGATAAGTCATTCACTATGTGTCAGTGAATGACTTATCTTCCATGCATCTGGTTAAACAGCATTTTTAAATAACAAGTTTACATCACAAAGCTGTACATTTCCGAGCTTCAGATACTGAGATCAAATGAGACCTTGCTATCATCTTCCTATGTTACTTGTAAACACCAAAGCCACCTGATTAGGTATTTGGGAAGAGAACAAAATACTGAAATAGTTAAAACTTGCGTTTGACCTAGCATAACAATAAAGACAAGGAAAATCTCTGCCTACCTTTTGGCACAATGAAAAGCAAATAATGGTGTTTATGTATAAATAATATTATTTCTTATACTCTATGCTTGTTTGAAAAATGTCAAAGAAGGTCTTGTAAACTTCATGGGAACAAGGCTCTGTTATTTCCTAGGGATTCTACTCAGCACACCAAACAGTGGTTTTCTTTATTTTGGCTTAGTTGTGTCTATAAACTATGGTTTATGGCAAAGGGAAATTGGGGGTTTCCTCCCTCTGGTTTACACTTTGGCATGATATGAAGTTAGCCAACTGACTTCTTTTCAGCTGCAGTTCTTATGAAAGTTACCTGGACTATATGAAATGCCATTTTCATGGTTAAGCATCACATGTTCTCTTTGTTTTTTCAATTTATTTACTGATTGAAAAAAGGTTGGTTTGGTCTCATTACTTAGATCTTGTCCTTATGGCGCATCTCACCTGACAAGAATATGCCGTATATTTCCCTTTCTGGATTCAAAAGCAACACTACTTTTTTGCAAAACATTCTGATTTGTTTGCTAAATTGAATGTATGCAAATAGGGACTTCTATTTTTAATAGTATTGTGAAAAGTATCCAATTTGAAGAGCACGCAGCCAAGTTCCAAAATGTCTTGAAACACCTATGACTTAATAGAATTCCTGCAGAGTTTAGTAATCATTCTGAATTAAAATAGCACTGTGTGTTTAAAAATCTTGGGATTATATCCTTTTTTTAAAAAAGATAAGAATATTGTCTCTTTAAAAAGACTTTAAAGAAGGTAGTAGAAAACATTTTCCTAAAAACAGATGTTTACTGTGCTTGTTGGATATCTTGAATTACAAGGTAATGTCATTGTATACAGTCATTTTCTCTCCCCCCCACCCCCTCAGCTGTAAAACAAATAATCATTCTTGCTGAGTCCACAAATAGATTTTTGGCTGGCTATTTGTTTCTAAAGTATCTTTGCTTTTCTTATCCTTAAGATTCAGCAGCTGTTAATGGAATTATGTAGTTCACCGTCTAGTGCTGTAATAGCCTTAAAAGAGTAGAGTCATTATTTTTCCCTAGACAAAAAAGTACTGCATTTAACAGTTTCTAATTAGTCATAAACTTTATAACTACTGCAGTTTATACACGACAAGTCGTCTGTCCTACAAATTAATTCACAAGCTGTATCAATGTTGTGATAATTCATTATTTGGTTTGCAAAAATATTGCCTAAAGATTATTAATATTTGGGAATAAGTAGCTAGCTGTTTAGAAACCTTAAAAACTTTAAGAAAATCCTTTTTCTTTGTCACTGGTAAGTAAATGGAACTATAGCAATTAAAAATCCATTGTGTTGCTACATAGAAATATGTTAAGCCACAAAGTTCCAGTAAAGTACAAATTTTCCCTGTAAATTGTTCTAGCTGTGCAACCTGGCTTCCATTCTGGTCCTGGTCAGATGAGTCCTTAAAATCTGGCTGTTCCCTCAGACCTTGGGTTAGAATGGGTGACAGACCCCTTTCGTGGTCTTTTGATCTGTCAGATGTTTATTGGTTTTCTGGACTTTTTCTTATATAGGTTATGTACATGTTTGTTTTTACTATCTTATTTTGTAAGCTGCCCAGATTTGTGAATACATTGGGACTGTCTATAAATTTCATAAATAATTAATTGAATTTAGATTACAGAGATGAGAGATACAGAGATGAATACCCATGTCTATAGATGAATACCCATGTCTATAGAAGACATGGTACATGTGGAAAGCACGATCATGTTGGAGCAGGGAAACAGACAATGGGGTGGGTAGGATACTGTCATCGCACAAATGCCATCACTTGCATCAGACATAGAGCATTTGCGGTGGTGGCATTTGGGTGATGATGCCATTGCATCCATATTGTCATTTTAATGTCGGCATGTTTTCTTGTGGAGACTATTGAGCAAACTCATGTCCTTGTAAAATGATTCTGCACCTAAGTGATTGTTGTGCCAGTGGGCTTGAGGCTGAGTTATACTATTATAAGACCTGGGGTATATAATCCCAATGCATCAACTTTGACCCGGCTCCCACAGCATACTAAGCTGGCGTGTGATTTGCTTGGTTTTGGCTTAGTGTATATGCAAATTAGACAAGCACAGCTTATTTAATAAAGTATAGTTATGCAAACCTGATGTGTGAACCTGACTAGATTTGCACCATTTGCTAGCCTAAAACATGATTGGCTCATTTCTGGCTCCTTTTTGTACGGACCCAAACAATGTGTTGTTTTCTGGTATAAGGCATTCTGCAAACACAGGCAATTGGATTACTTTAACAAACAACAGTTCTGTTATCTACCGTATATGTTAATGCATTGTGTGAACATGAGGCAATTCCTAATATCTGAGGAAAAACTTTCTCACGTTGTACTTTGTCTAATGGGAGCTAATTTGTCTCAAGAAAGCAGAAGTGGAAGGTTGGCCATCTCTGGCACAATGCAAATGGGAGGGCCTTTGCACAGCTTCGGGTTGTGCATCAGTTATGCCCTTTCCTGGATTGGGATGC